GCTGCCCCAGTTAGGCTATCAGTTACTGATGAGGTCCCACAAGCACATCCCAAGTTTCACATCTAGTTCTCAAGAAGTTTGTGCTACATCACAAGGTTGCTGTTTTTGCCTCGATCTCTGTGGGCCTTGGCACTTACGAAAGTACCTGAGCGAACCTTCCTTTATATCAGCAGTTGTTGTGGGATGGGTTGCCCATGTAAGCATGATATGCTGGTTGACACCTAAGACATGTGATCAGACATATTGGGCCATTCTTTCTCAGTTAAGACTTGATACACAGGCTTTTGAAGCCTTTTTAGACTTATGTTAGTGCAACTCTTTCACAGCAGAATGCTCCTGTTGAGAGGGAAAAAAGAACCTGTTGTAGTTGGGTTGGGCAGGAGAGGATAATGGTAAAATACCGCTCTTCTACTCTTCCTATGGCTCCTGCTACCAGAGTTGCTGCCACTTACACCACCCATTCCACTGTAATGTACAACTGCAACTGCCAGGTAGCTGACCCAATTCCAAGTCAGACCGTATCTGAAATGCTAGTGGAGAAGAGCCTCTGCTGTAATTACCATAACTTTTCTGAAGTTCTGAGAATTTTTACGTTTGGTTATTTCTGGATATTTTATGCATCATTCTTTGGTTCTGAGAAGAACTAAAAATGATTATATTTTGTCTGTGTGTGTATTACATTTATGTGCATTATAATAGCATGGCTTTTAAGCACTGTACATCTGTTCCCTCCCTGCCACAATACTGAAATTCAGTAAAATATGAAGGAGCTAGAAGCCTCAAAGGTAGCTATGTTGTTTTCCTCTTCAACTTACATTGAAGCTTACTCATTTCTATCCTTTTTTTCATCGCTTCCATGCTTAACTTTCAGCTCTGTACGGGATCATGCTGATTGAAGTTACGTAAGAATTTGGCTACTTAGGTGACAGCTGTACCTATATTTAGAAAATTCTTTTAATGAATTCTGTTCCCCACCAATTTCCATTTTCCTTTGTGATGTTTATTTAAGAGCAAATATTAATAAGCATCAAGAATTGACATCTGCACTGCAATTAAAATAATTGCATAATTAAGAGAAGAATAATTTAATACTTACTAGTAAGAGCAGTGACCACACCTCACAAAATAATATTTGTGTCTCATCAGTATAAGCTAAAACCAAAAACCTGGATCTGAATAGGTGGTGGGTATTATTCAAATTTCTCTTAAAAATTACAGCCCGATAAACTAAGGGTCAAAGAAAGTTTGTGAACCACATAACAAATTTATAAGTGTTTGACTTGGCCATTGTTGTGTGTAGCAACAAAGCAACATTCTCCAGCCGCTACAGACTTTATATTCTCGTTCAAAATCTAAAAGAGTGGTAATAAATATGTTGAGAAGTTGTCATAACTAAGACTTTTGAACTGGATCTATTGCACATTGCTCTGGAAGAATTTAAGAGTTCTATATTTTTAACTAGTAAAAAATTCTGATGCTTTGGCTCTTGTACCACGTCTTTTTTAGTGTACAGTAAATGAAATGAAATCTGCTTAGCTGCGCCTTCTTGGTAGAATGAATTAGAACAGATTGGACTACAAGCATATACCAAAACAATATGGTGTTCTTTTAAACAAGTATGGATTTTTTGTTTCTCCACACCAGGTTCTTTTTCGCTTTATGACATACTACCTTGTTTAATTGTATGCTGTCGTTTACTGCTATGTTCTGGTACATATACAGGGGCTGCATTTGCTTCATTTGGCAAATTCTCACTTGCTGCAGTCGAGGACTTTGCTACTACACTATCACTGCAGCACTTTCTGCTGTGTTATGATGTCAAGTTATTCTGTCAGATCTCTTCATGCTGTCATACCCCTTGGTGTGACAGTGCCCTTTGTAGGGCACTAGTAAGGTGATGAAGATGGTGAAGGGTCTGGAGGCCAAGATGTATGAACAATGGCTGGAGTCCCTTGGTGTGTTGGGCCCAGAGCAGAGGAGCTGAGGGCAGGCCTGATGGTGGCTGCAGCTCCTCACCAGGAGCGGAGGGGCAGCGCTGAGCTCTGCTGTGTGACAGCGACAGGGCCGAGGGAACGGCATGGAGCTGTCAGGGGAGGGCAGCTGGGGGTCAGGGACAGGGGCTGCAGCACAGGGCAGTGGGCATGGAATGAGCTGCCCAGAGCAGTAGGCATGGCCCCAAGTGCTGGAGTTCAAGGTGCATTTGGACAGCACTCTCAGACACGTTTTAGATTTTGGGTGTGCTATGTGGAGCCAAGAGTTGGACTTGATCATCCCTGTGGGCCTCCAACTCAGGGTATTCTATAATTCTATGTATGTGTAAATTGTTGAGAAGTTTGTGATTTGTTGCTTGTTGATTGCCATTTGCCTCAAAAGTAAGAATAAATGCTTGATACTATATAAGATTTTTAGCATGCCGGTAGTGAAAATGAGCATCCTTTCACTGAGCAAATGTTGTTATTTGTCCAAATGATTATCTTGCAGGGGACCCTTCCTTTGTTGTTTGCTGCTTTTTTTTCTCATTACGTTACTTTCAACTAGATGTCTTTGGGGAACTCCGTAAACTCAGGCATATTAGAGCTTCCTTTTAATGTAAAGAGGAGCACAAATGGAGTGTGGTTTAACTTTCAGCAAGATTATAGAGTTTTATCCTAAAATCACTATTTCCCCACAGACAACTGATTTCTTTAGTGACTTTATGGTAATATGTCAGTTAAAAAAATTAAAAAAGCCTAGGAAAATGAAGCTATTCTGTGTTAAACAACATAGGCTGCACATAGGTTGGTTGTATGGTAATTCGTGGAAACTTTGTTTTTAGTTCTTTTTCTCTTCTAGATGTCCCTTTGACTTTTGTCATTTTTGGACTTGAAGGAGACATGGTAAAAATGCTGGATTTGTTTTTCTTTGTTCAGAAGGTGCCAACTATGCCTGAACCAGCACTGAACCATTGCTGCAGCACAGTATTGTGTTCTGACCAAGGCTGGCTTCTTGAAACTATTTGATTTCCTGGACTGATTTTATAGGGATTTGAGTGAATTCAATATTTTTTTACATGAGTCATCCTTAATTGACCTTCAGGGAGCTTCATAAATTCTGTTCTTACCACATATTAGTTATGTTTAACTGCAATTATACAAACAATCACATTTAAAAACTGGAAAAGGGCGATGAAAGGAGGATGAGGAGGAAATGAAGGGCAAGGAAGAGAAAAGCAGAACACTCAACAAGCCTAACATTTTTCTCTACAGTACATTTTATTCCTTGAAGGAAAAGGGTTCAGACCCAAGAGAGATTCAACACTATAGTGCCTAAAGCAGAGTAGGAGGTGATGTGAGCATCCTTCTCATTTTGGAGATGTGACTCAAATGGCAAATGTAAAGCAGCAGTTGAGTTAGTGCTCTGAAAACACATAGAGAAGGGATGGTGAAGATGGATATCTGAGAAGAGCATCTTAGTTTGTGCTTCCCTGAGGAAATACCAAAATACTGGCTTATCACTTTCCTTCTACTTCATTCCTGGTATGGCTCCTATGCATCTTTGCTCATTGCGTTTTTAATGACCCGATGGCTTTCTTTGTGATTTAAATGTCATGCCTGGACAACTAAACATGCAGAGTAACATGGACTGTCATGGTTTGGTATTTGCTTTCAGTTTCATAACTCCATGATTTATGGCTTCAGAATTAGCTTATCCTCAGTTTGATATAAAATAATAACTGCAAATGTCTGAGTCTTTCTGAAAAGATATTGTTTTTTGATGAAACATTTTCATGAAGCCTACAAACAGGAGGGGAGTCAACTCTTCATAAAGGTAGATAGTGGAAGGACAAGGGGAAATAGTTTTTAAGTTGAAGGAGGGAAGATTTAGGTTGTATGCCAGGGGGAAGTTCTTTACCAAGTGATGAGGTGCTGGAACAGGCTGCCCAGAGAGGTTATGGATGCCTCATCCCTGGAGAGTTCAAGGCCAGGTTGGATGGGGCCCTGGGCAGCCTGATCTGGTATTAAATGGGGAGGTTGGTGGCCCTGCATGCGGCAGGGGGGTTGGAGATTCATGATCCTTGAGGTCCCTTCCAATCCAAGCCATTCTATGATTCTATGATCTTGTTTGAAAACTGCACTTTTTAAGCATTAAAATCTAAGGAAATTGGGAACCCCCTTATGCATAGTGTGCTTTTGTGACATTATATCATACTGAATGAGTAGAAGTAAAAATTGTGGAGTAGTGCAAAATGATTATTTCTTGATTAAAAATGTTCAAAGAATATGAAGAAATTGCATCAAAATCTTCTATAAATTAAAACTTGTAACATGGCACCAAGCTTCTCTAATTATAAAGGTACTCTTGGTTAGAAAAATAGGAAGAGCTGGAATCATGACTGGCACAAATTTGCCCACATCTAGTGAAAGCAAGGTGCTGCCTTCATGGGGGAAAAACAGAATCTATAACACATAGTGGTATCCCTATTTGGGGTCTCTACTGAATATGTGACTGCCAAATACATGGTATTTACTGAATCAACCAATTCCAAAAGCTAAGCAGAGAATGGCTTTGGTTCTCAAACAGCCTCTGTGGACAGCAGATCCTTTAGTCAAAGGTTCACTTTCAAATTCTTTCTTTGAGTTTACAACACTTTCATTGCCTACATATTTACAAGTGGATTAAATCCTTAAATCCTAGCATATATTGTTGTTTGATGGTGTCCTGTGCTCTTTGCGTGTGTTTTTATTTTGTGAGGCAGCTTGTCCCTACAAATCTATAAGCTCACTTTTTTAAACAGATTGAATTGTGAGACAGCTGGTTTGATTATAGATCAGTGCCTTTAGTTAATCTGGAAGAAGTTGTACTTCCAGTTATAGAATTATATGTGGTTTGAGAGAGGGTGGAGGAAGAAATGTGAAGTTTTATATAACCTTGGCAGGCTAATATTTAACAGCCCTTGCTTGCTTAGAGTGCCTGGAGGCAAAGCTGTTTCTGTATTATGTGACTTGGAGTTGTTGCTCCCTTTGGAGAGGGGAGAAAACAAAGCCATGAAGTTTATATTCTATTGCAGGTTGCCTCAAACAGATGAACTAAGGCTCAAGCATGCTAGCAGCAGTATTAAGACTGATATCTTTTGAAAGGAAACAAAAACTTAATCCAGAAAACTCTTTTTTTTCTTTTTTTCTTTTTTTTTCTTTGCTTACTATTATTTTTTTTTTGCTTTCTGGATTATTTATTATTATTTTGTGTTTCTAGATCTTTATTTCCTTTTCTTTATGATGTTACAGAAAATTAAGAACTAATTTCAATGTAAGTTAAAATTTCATTCATCACTTAGGTGAGCATGGTGTTGGGGGGGGGGGAGAAGGGAGAAAAATGTAATTATTAAAGCATACTTTTATTTTCCTAGTTCCTTTTGGCTACTGAGGGCTGATTTGCTCCTTGATAAAAACTGGAGTGAAAAGTAAAAAGCTTGTAGATACTATATATTGGTGCACAGATATCAGTATCCTCTTCTTTTTGGCACATCTAACTCACCACACTGGAGACTGTGTCAGGTATACTTCTGTCTTTAGTGTGAAGCCTCACACTTGCAGTTCAAGCAAGGAAGGCTTTTTATCATGAGAAATAGTTTTTCTCAGGAAATTATCTACTCTCAGTGACAGCCAAGCAGCATCAGAATACTGAGTGAGCAGCCACTGTGCAAAACATGGAGGTGCTGGATTTTCTCCATGGCTCAGTCCCAGCATGTAGCTCGGACTCTCCCATTGCCCTTTGTGGCAGCAGAACCACCAGTGCTGATTCCCGACCACAGGAGGTTGATAACCAGTGTAGGTGCAAAGCCAGGTCCTGCAGGGCAAGAGGTCAGCCGCAGGACACCAATTAACTTCCTTTTAGAGCTGCAAAATTATTATTTTTTTCTTAATGTGCATCCTAAGAAAAGAGCTTTCCAGGATAAAGAGAGTATTAAGATTGCATGGTTTAAGGAGAGAATTTCTGACTCCCAATCCTTTTTTACTGGCAGAGTGAAATCTGATCTTTAATGCAGTCACTTTAATAACAATGAATAATTTATATTTAGCAGTAATCAAATGATTCAAATGCAATTTAATTTTTTAATTAAATCATTTAAAAGCATGCTTTGAATGTGATGCTTTAATGAAATGATACTGTCTGCTGCTCTTTTATGAAGAACTTTATTCACAATCTTGAATGTTTCATGGTGCCAGGGGCATCGTACCTCCTCTGATATTGCCAATCTGATGAGGAGGTCTTGAAGGTAATTTCTTCACACAGTGGACAGACAAGTATCTGACAGTTTGGTAAATGAGAACATATTGCTTTGAAAATGCAAATGAATAAAATAACATTAGCATTAGGAAATATTAGCTGCATTGTATCAAGCAACAGCCAAGAAATTATCTGAGGCATTACTTAGACAGTTTGCATTTAATTCAAACACTTATTAATCATTCTTTGCTGGTAGTTCTCATGCTGAACTCTGCCCTGGTGTGTGAATGAGTGTAACATCACTGGAGTCCAGCACAGTAGTTATTTCTTTAATTTGCTCTCTAACAGCAGTGGGTCTTGTTTAGCTTCTGAACCAGTGGAGTTGTGTGTGCTCATGAATGTCACGCTAAGCTAAATCCTCTATTGTTCTTCATATCCTATACAAATATACACCAGTCTATGTGTGTGTTTAAGCATGGCTAGTGGAGATCTACGAGGTCTGGACCAGTCTGAAACCATACAGAGTTGTGATGGTGCTGGCTGGCACTGCCTGCTGGAGAGAGAGGTGTATTTCCTTCAGTCTGGAGGAGTCAGTGAGAGCGGGTTTTCATCTGCTCCTCCAGGGCGAATAATGTGGGTTATTCTTGTGGTCTCCTCTTGATCTTCTAGTCCACTACGACCACCAGATAATGAATCAGCACTTTACTTGTCCTATGTGAGCAGCAAGAATACATAGCCACAAATAGGGTACAAATAGGCAGAAAATTCTGCAGGAGCTTCACTGCTGCAGGGCTTCTGAGAGACCTGTGGGGATGGTGGAAGGACCTCTGCTTGCTGGCTATTTTTCCCAGCACTTTCCTGTCAGGGTACAAGTCCCTTGGAAAAATGCAAATAGATAAATTGCATGTCTGTGATCACTTAGTCATTTAAAAATTAAGTTCATGGTTAATATCTTTTATGTGAACACTGCTATGGAAAGGTCTAATGTTTTTGATGAGCTGCTCCATCAAAACTACCATTAAGTCCTCTTTTAAATGTTAGGAGATGAGGCTATCTCTAATGCTGTGGTTACCAATATCATGATGCTTGCTGTTTGCAGCAACTTCATTTTGTTATCAACTTCACTTGAAGCAGTCTTCATTTTGTCATTTGCTTCTTCTTATTTAGACCTTTATGTGAAATGTAGCCAGACAAATAGAACTTGTTGCTGCCAGTAGTTCTGGGAGACTTTTATATAGGCCCTGACTCAGAAACGTAAGAAGAAAATTTCCCTTAGTGTACTATGATAGTATACCCTAAATCGTACTGGGTACAAAAAAGGGTTGTTAGTAGTCTGTCTGATGAAAAATCTTGAGTGACTTTCACTTCATACTGTATTTTATCTCTACCAGGTCAATAGTTCTTCAGTGACAATAATACTTTCTTTTTCCAGACTTGTCCTAAGTCGCTTTTCTAATGTCTGTATGCACTGTTGGACAAGTTGTACCTTCTAGAGAGTCTGGATTACAGGTTTCAGAATTGCTAGAAGTATTCCTTCACTTCTGTCTAAATCTTGGTTGGGAAGGGAGATGTTTTTAAGTAACCAAACCGTTTCATTTGGAAGTTTTTATAATATTCTTTTCAAACAAAAACAGACCAATTCTGTACTGATTTGGGCAAAATATTTTGGAGAACACGGAGATTATATGCAACATTTGGTTTTAGATTGAAAATGTGTCATTGATGAAGACACTTATGATTCTGCCATCGAGTTACTCTTTCTTCTCACCCTTTCCTTTGCGTTTCTCTACTCCAAACTAATTTTTGTTTCTCCCTTGGTATGAGGTAGCCATAAAACTGACTTGGATTATTTCTTGATGTTCAGTGTAACTAAGATGGAAGCATGTAAATCTGTCCCACTGTTTTACACCATTTAGACAAGGCAAAACAGCCAGTGCAATCCAGTGACTCTGGACTACTCAACTGTGTTGAACAGTGAGACATCAGTGAAAGGCCGCATTTAGCAAATAGGAAATATTTCTTGTCTTGTAAAAAAGAAAACATTCAAGGATGTGGTAGAGAGCCAGATACTCAATGACAGTGTTTCTGTGAGAGAAGAAGCATTCTCCTTGCCACTTTCCAAAAGGCAGGGGTTTTTTTTATGTAGTGGGATAGGTGAAACTTCTAAGAGGCAAGTCTTCCACTTCAGCTCTCACAAGACAGACATTTGCTGCCTAGAGAATGTATTTTAACCTTCTTCCTCCTTTGGTGGTTGTATGCATTTTGCTTTGGGTTGTTTAAGAATAAAATTAGTGATAATAACAGATGCTCTGAGTAATGCAATAATGTATATTTTGTTGTGAGAGAAGTTAGAGCATTAGCAACCACAGCAAAACTCGATATTGTGCTTCAGTTAGCTACAGTGTAATCCAAGCTTCTGTGTTTAAGTTGTCCCTTCACCTCCCTTTGCCTGCCTTAGAGCTTTCTCCTTGGAAGCATTGCTGCAGAGGGCTCCTGGCTGAACGGAAGGCCTGGTGTTGAATTTGATGTTGCTCAGCATAAAGCCTACCTTTATGGTTTCAATAATGCTGATGCTGCCTCTGTGTCTAATTTCTGAAAGACGTTTATGTATGATAATATTGGCTAAGAAACTCTTCATTTTTCATAGGAAAACGTAGTCAGTTTTCAGCTCCATGTTTGTAGGTCTTCCTTGGAAGCGTCCAGAGGAGGTGAGGGCTCATGGCTGATGCAGTACATGTGTACTGAAAACTCCCCAGTAAGCTCAGAGCGTCTGGCCTTATTAGGCAGCCCAATGACTCATGTTACTGTGTTATCAGAGCCCCACACAGCCCTGAATGCCAATCCCCATGGTGTCCCTCTGGAGTAGGAGCTATACATACTCCTGTTTTATAGATAAGGCTGTGACCTGGCTGTGCTGCAGAAGGAAGATGTGAAGTGCTGCAGTGTTAACTGTGCTACATTAACGAGGGTAAGAATAGCTGGTGCTGGCAATGTGCAGGCCCTCTGTGGGTGGATGGTATGTTAGAGGCTGTGCTAGCTGTGTGCTGCCATCCATGCCAGCTGCCATCACTGCTGTGGTTACGATGCGGAGCTGAAGTTAGCAGGCAGTGACCTTGGCTGTCATTCTGCTGTTCAGATATAGCTGAAGTGATATGCCCAAGGTCACCAAGAGAGCAAGTGCTGGCAAAGTGAATTGGGTTGGGGAATTGGGAATAAAGCTGCTACCGTGGAACCGCTAGAAAAGCAGAGTTTTCCCTCTATTGTGGGAGTTATTAAATGTTTTGCTAGCACCAGAAGCTGAAATTGTAGGAAGCCGCTGTGGAGGGAGAGTTACTGAAGCCCAGTGTCACACTTGTCATGATGTGGTCAGGTACAAATTTGTATTCATGGCTGTATTTCATATTTGCTAATACTCAAAACACTGCTGAATTGCTGAAATCGAAGTGGCTAAATGGAGAGCTTATCTCACATACAGCTGTACATTTGGCTTTGCGTATCCCACGTGCACAGCCAAATGACCAGAGGTCTGTGCCCAGGAGCACTGCTGCTCACTGAAGAGCAGCACTCACCTTTTGGATCATCATGGAACATGTGTGGATGAGGCCTTGTGTCAGCAAAGGGAGGGAAGTGATGACTGTAGAAACCGATGTGCAACGATTTCCAGAACTGCTGTGAGGTAATTCAAAGTGAATGAGCCTTTTAAAATTAAGCACAGGCAGCATAAAAGGTACTTCACAAAATATCATTCTGTTTCTAAGTGTACAGACATTAGACTTCTCAGAAATATGGATGAATTTAGCTATTGGGCTAATTTTCAAGGCTTTCACTGTGATAGTTGGAACAAGTGATTATGCCATCTTTTACTGTGGAGTACTTCCATCTAGAATGCTGGATGTGATTTTTCCTGTTCACAGAGCACAAAGCAGACACCTCACTTGGAATAGAGTGTTTAGTCTGAGTGAGAACTACTCTTTGTGTGCACGTGTGTGATTTATTTATAATAGATAATTCCTGCTATCCAGATGATTTCTCCCAGCTTCCTTTCAGTCTGAGCCAGGGCAGTCTTTGTCAGTTATGTA